TGGCCACACTACACCTTGAGTACTGTGCCTTCCCACAGGAATGGGCAGAGGAAGTGCTCGTCCTACTATCTGAAAATGCCTCCTTGCCAAGTCACTAGAAATCCTGCACTTCAGACATTATGAGCTGTTGGGAAGGGAAAAAAAAAGGAAGGGGTTGTGGTTAGAGCTCCACAAGCATCTATTAACAGCACCCAGTCTACCAACAAACCTGCAGGCACAGAGACTGCCAGCACCAGGAACTGATGATGCTGCTGGCTCCCCCTGCCCCGCTGCAGCCCCTGCTGGCCACCTGGCAGCAATCTTACTGGTCCCAGCAGTGTCCCTGTGGAAATGACTGGACAGTGAGCAGGAGCTCTTAGCAGTTTCCATCTTTGCTGGAGTTGACCCTGTCTCTAAGGGACCAGGGCTCACTCCAGCTCCCAGGCAATGTACAGCCCAACCCTGTGACCCTGTGACCTCCCACTGTTTCCATGTAAGAACCTGCCCTGTGTTGGGAAAAAGCACAAGTCCCACATAGGATCAATACTCTGGATACTGAAGGCAGAGTTTTTGTGTTTTCTGTCACTTTCTTGCATGGTCAAAGGCTTACATTTCAGTCCAGCAACTTCATAATCTTCTTCCTCCTCCTCCTCCTCCTCTTCCTCAGCATCTGGTTCATCAGAAGCTTCCTCACCTTCTTCACCTTCATCTTCAGCAGAATCCTCTGTATAGTTCCTAGAGCAAGGCAGGTAAACACATCTGTTGTACCAGAGCCTGGCACCAGAGGCCCTGGGCCCTCTGAACTGCTTGCTGACAGGGAAACCCAGCTCACTGTAAAACCAACACCCCATCTCAGACTGAAGCAGTCTCCTATATATAAGAGAGTATCAAGTTGTAGGGGCACCATGGGCTAAAAGGGCACCATGGTCTGAACACCTGGGCTGAAAATCCCATCAGCTGAATCTGTGTATTTTTTGCTGTTTTAGGCACCTTGACCCCATGATAATGGATTTTAAGACTGTGATTGTTGTGCAACTGCTCCTCCCCAAGAGGATGTGCTGCTGTTTTACCCAGGTCTGCAGGCCTGGTCTAAGGAGTATCTGAAGGGGGACCTTTCTGTTTCTGCTGGAATATCTTCCCATTATCTCCTTCCACTGTCAAGCCAGTTGCACGTGCACTAGAGGAAACAGACCTTGTTTAGCATTATTCACAGATAAGCTGGTATTTGTTATTGAGAAGAGCATCAGGCTTCCCAGCTTCTGATGTCAGAAGCCAGAGACTTCCCTCCCAGGACAGCTCTGACTTCCCCCATGTGTCTGCTAAAGCATTCCAACTGTTACAAAAGCAGGAAAACAAACCAGAATGAATAGGCAAAACGGGACAAAGGCAAAGCTTTAGTGGGAGTCTCAATCCTCTGAGAAAGAGGATCTTGAGCAGTAAAAGGAATAAGCTCCCACGGTACAGAGGGGGTAAAAGTGATCCCAGGCTGACATTTTTTCCTGCCTCAGCTAGGCAGACAAGAGCAGAAGGCAGGTAACAGGACAGGTGTTACCCCACCTGATGGCTCTCATCCAGGAGCTGAGCAGCTTGCAAGGGACTCTGCCACATCAAAGTAACTGATCTCAGGCTAGAGCAGCTGCACTGAAGCCCTGTCATTTTTATACAAGCCTGATGAACTCTTAAATGGTGCCCAGGGAGTAAGTAATACTTTTAAGGCCATACACCATCTGCATGTTAAAAGCTAGTGCACCTCTTATTGTGCTGCTGCTTTGCAAGGGAGGGTCTGTTGAGTGCTTGTGGTTCAGATGCCATTTGATAGCCTCACCTCCCTGACAAGCAGGCAGATGCAGCACAGAGTCACCATCAGCAAGAGGACATACATTGTCAGCAGGGAAATACATCTTGCTTACATTTAACTCCCAGCTTGCAACTCAAAAAACAACTCAACCTCTTGCTGTCACAAGGTAACTACTAATTTCTTCTGCAGAGAACTTTGATTCCTCCTCAAATCATCTTTCCTCTGTAGCCCCATAAGGGCTCCTGCCTTGTTAAGGCTTACCAGGCCCAGAAAACCATCCCAGTGACATTTTGCAGCCTGATTTTTAGTAGGACAGTAGGGGCTGAGCTGCAGCCTGGAGTAATGTGAGCTCTAACTTGCCAAGAACTCACCAGTAACAGCCCAAAGCACCACAGAGCTGCAGTGCTACCAACTACACTCCCATGAAAAAGCAACACACCTAGCTGATTTTGGTGGATGTCTTGTGCATGTTTTCACTGTCAAACATCAGTTATTTATTAAAACTCCTGAAGTTGTCATGGGTCACTACAACACAGGTGTGTTGAAGTTGCAGCCTGAAAAAATTGCTCTTCTATTGTGCCAGTGCCCTGGAGTCAGCAAGGCTGTTTCAAACCTTTCAAAGGGGCTCTGTTCTGGTTGCCTTGTGAAAGCCCAGGTAGAACTGGTGATGCCAAGGAGAGGAGGATCACTCACCTGCCCCGGGAGCTACGCCTGGCAGTAGAAGGCTGACAGGCTGGGCACTGCCACTCCCCATCAGGGATCTCGTAGAGCGCGGGTCTCAGACAGAAGAGGTGGAAGGCTTTGTTACACTCATCACACAGGATCAGCTTGTCATCCTCACCTAGGAGAGTGCAACTCACTTGTAAGGAGTGCCACAGCCCTGCTCAACCTTAGAAGCTGCTGCCGTGCTGGATGTCAGGACAGAGCAAGAGAAAGGTGCAAAGTCCCCTCTGTTTGCAGGGACCCTTCCTGCTTGGTCCCATCACTGCACCATTTCAAACCAGACAGAACGATGCAAAGTTCCTTGCCCTGCAAAGATTTCATTTGAGGCAAAGGTAGAAACCTGCCAAATAGGTTACACTCAGACTAAACCTTAAGCTAAACACTGGGAAAGATAAAGCTGCTGTAAAGATGCCCAAGAGCCCAGGAAGCGGCTATAAATGCAGGTCTTCTTATTCTAGCCTCAGTCTGGACAACCTGCACAACTCCCTTCTTCTGAAGAAAGTTCTTCTCAGTTCTGCTGAAGGTAACAAGTCTACACAGAAAATCAGTATGCAGCAGAACTAGTCTCTCTGTACTTCTCACCGATGCAGGGAAATGGGGAGACACTCCTGAGCCAGCTACTTCATTTACTGAAGAGGAAAAAAAGGAAGTGCAGAGAGCTTGCCAACATACCCTGAACGTTGCAGTTCCCAAATTCTGTGAAACTATCATCTGTTAGTCTCAGGTGAGCCCCCTCTTACATCTACCTATAGAAACCACTCTCAACAGCAAATAGGACAATTTTGGTGTTGGTTTGGAATATCCCCAAGGCTCCACAGGGCAGGAGGATGTTGCACCAATTCAGCCTGTATTTCTTTGAAGAAGTGGATGGCCTAGCTTTTTGGTAAACAAAAGTGGCCCAGCACGCCCCCAGAGGTCTGTCTGCCCTCATTTCCCACTAGTGTTTCAGCAAATAGTGAGACAAAAAGCACATGATCAGGCAGAATGTGCTACCAAGCTCTTTCCTCCAGGCTTCCATCCAAAAGCAGAGGTTATGGCAGAACAAATACTAGTGCTCCATCATTGGTGACACCCCTTCTATTCCTCCCTCTGCCTGCAAGACTCTAAAGCCCTTCACCCTACAGTGTGTAGAGAGAAGGTAACCCTTTGTCACCTATTTGGTTACTTCCCCACCCTTACCAGTGGGTAAGGCTTCCAGCTCAAGCAGTTCTACTCCCACTATAGCCTCAAAGTAGGAGCGTTTCACCTCATTCTCTCCCATTTGGCTACAAAGGATAATAACCTTCCCAACCTCTCCTTGCTCCTTCCTTCTGCGAAGAACGGGATTAACTGAAATGGCTCAGAGACCCAATGACCATTCCAACTCAAAAATGCATCCAGGGAATGGACAGTGGCACGAGTGTTCCCAGAAAGATTTGTTGATTACTTTTGTCCAAGTGCCCTAAACATCCAGGGGAGAGCAGCTTTGCAATGTTCTGCAAGACCGTGTTCTAGCTGCACAGGAATGGTTTATTGAAGTCGGGGTCAAATGCTCCTGATTGTGAATCCTAACTCAAAATACAGCCAAAGACAAGAAGGAACAGACTACAAGGACATGTTGCCTCAGCAGGGCATGGAGAGGTACCAACGTCCAAGGGTTCTGCTGCCAGGGGCAGGAATTCATACCTTTCTTGCGACACACTTTGCATCTGGCATTCTCTGCTGACATGTCCCACTTGATACAGGCATCCAGCATCCCGAGCAGCACGTGCATCCGGGAGAAGGTCTGGGCCTCCCGGATTGCTGTTTTCCACTTCTCCGTGGCTGAAGCAACCTGCAGACAGAGCTAACAACTCACAACCAGGCACACAGACACAGCTCGCTACAGTCTGAAGATGTTTTTATATCATTTAGCTGGGGCCCTTAGTAACCAGAGCTCAACTCTGTATTTCTTTCCTTCCATACAGCCTCAGCAGTCCTATTTGTGGTTTGTCCATGACCAGCCTCACTGGATCAGACAGTTTGTTCATTACAGCAGAGCCCTTTTGCGTTTCATGGCCAGGCTGAAACAACCTATGTGAACTCCACTAAATTCTTGCTCTGAAAGTCTAGCCCAAATAACCATCAGGCTAAGAAAATAAAAGGCAGAAATCTAGCACTGTAAAATGCAGGATGAAAGTTGGGAGGCAGCTGGCAACACCACCTGAGCATGGCGGCTGGGAACAGCCTGTGCTGCCCTCCAGTGGGTTCTGCAGAGACAATCGAGACAATCAGCAAGACCCAGCACATGCTTGGTCCTCCTGGTCCTCTGAGCTGCTCAGCTGGCACTGGGGACTATGACATCAGTCACAATCACATCTGACAGGCAAAGCATTTGGAGCCCCAAATATGAAAGCAGCTGCTTTCCTGAGACAAGATGACCTCAGTGCATGTGAAATCCCAGAATTAGCTGCAAGTGAGGATGGAAGGATTGCACCAAGGCAACTGCTGGAGTCTGTAGGCAGCAACACACATGCCAACCTCAAACTCAGCTCTGGAGGTTCAGAAACTACGTTGGGTAAATCGGAAATGCACCAGAACAGAGGAGTAATCCAGAGCTACTGCATGTTCAACTCCAGTGTTAATCCTCTGCTTTACAACAATGAGGTGATGGCCTAGACATGACAGGGACATAATAGGACTCAAGTGAATGTTCTTCTACCCCAGGAGAATGAAAAAACAAACAGTGAAGTGTCAGATGGGAAAATCTAAACTCTGCAGCTGACAGCAATTTGGGAGCCAAACAAAACCCAGGATTTTTGCAGAGTTGCACATTCTCCTCCCACTGAATTTGAGGAAGCACAGCATATATTAGGTGCTTGGAAAAACACACAAACTGTTCTCAAATGCCAACATCCTTACTGCCATGGCTGGTGTAGAACCTGGAGCCCACGACATTGAAGACAAACAGAAACCTGCACAGCCCACTGTGGCAGATCACACAGTGCTGTGCTATTTCTCTGCAGAACACTGTTGAGGTGCTTCACACACCATGTAATTGATTTTCCAAGTAACTGTTCCATAGGTTGTGCTCTTAACATACTGGGTAACTGCTGGGCCAAGATAAATCTGCAAAAGCTGTTGGCAAGTTTTGCTCAGAATCTTCTCCCCAGGCCTGTGGAATTTAACAGATTTTTAGCCAATCTTCCCAAGTATCATGAGACTATGGCATTCTAGCAGGACCATTACCAAGGGAGTTCACACTGCCAACGAGACAGAACAGGAGATTGAAAGAAGTTATTTAAATACCCTCCTGACTGGAGAGGAGCAATCTATCAGGGAAAACGAAACAAAAACACTCAAGAAGTCCTCAGTCATATTTCAACTTCAGAGTGACAGAAATCTCCTGCTGTGGTAAAAGGGCACAAACTTCCAGCTAGAAAAGCTCTCATCTGGCATCCTGAGATGACAGAATTCCCTCTGAACAGCTGACACAATAATTCCTTGGTTGTGAAGATGCTCTTTGAGGTATTGTCTGTAGGTGAAGATCAAACCCCCTGTCCTTTTCCCTTGCAAACAGCAGGGCTGGAACACCTACCCATGCTCTTCACTATGCTCAGGCAATTGTACTGCAGTGTCACATATTCCCAGTCCTATTCTGGGATAGTTCAGTGTGCTGCTGCCACTGGAAATGGGAACATTTGCATAGACACAGAGGCACAAGACTGATTTTCAGCCACAACCATAAGCTGGGTCTACAGTGCAATCCTCTACCACTCAGAAGTGTGATCTCTGTGTAGCTGAGCCAGCAGGAACTCTTACTATAGACAATTATGTCAGCAAACGGGTGCCTATTAAGCCATAACTTGTTACTCACAGGAAAAATGAGACATAACCATACCACAGGACTACAATTTCACTCTTATAGTCTGCAAGTACATGAAATGTGTTTTTTCCAGTACAGCTGTGCTGTATTTTACCTGCTATGTCCTTTCAGTGCACTTCTGGCTCTAAAAGACTTCATAATTCTTGGCCTATGCAGGCGATTTGTCTTTAAAAGCTTAACAGACAGTTTTTTTATCAGGTAACTACATAAGATCTGGGCTGCTCTTTCAAGGTCATCTATAAAGGTTTTCTGCTTTGGCAAAAATAATGTTCATTCCAGATAAACTGAGGCAGCCTCTCTTTGCCCCAACCAAAACCCAAAGCCAAACAAACCATCAAACAACTCCAAGAACCCAACAAAAATGCTGAACATGGCCTGTACCATCACAAATGTCTAGAAAAACTCTAAGCCAGAGAAATAAAGCACTACAGAAATAAATGCTCCGGAGACATGGGCACAACAAAAAAGCCAGTGCTCTGGAGGGAGACCTGCACCATCAAACACTCAGCCTGGCAACCCTGCAATCTGTGATCAATTTTAGGCAAGTAAAAGCTTAGGCTTGAAATGTCTCTCCTACAGCTTCAGCAACAGTAGATAAGAACTGAAGTGCAAAGCTCATGCTGTTGAGTGTAGTGCAGATAGTGTATGAAATGTGATGCTATCCTGAAGACATGGCCTCCAGGTCCAAGCCTTATGGTTACAGCTGTAAGACACACCAGAGTAAGGCATGATCTGGTGTTGCTGTAGATACAGGAAACGTGATGATCCAGATCTTTTTTATCCCAGACTTGAATGATTTTGACAGTTCTGTGTTCTGCTGACAGCCTTTAGGATAAAATAGCCTTCCATTCCCTTTGCACTAAAGACTGGAAGTTTCAAAGTTAGCAAAGTCTAAATACTTCAGGACAACTGAGGAACATGACAACTTCTAGTGCTTAGTCAAATATATTGTTAACATGGCAGTGCCACAGCAGAGCAAAACTTGATGTTCAAACATACACTGACAGGAGCTTTAAAAAAACCACACAAAGAACCAAACATACCACACACAAGCACCAGACAAGTGTGTAATATATCTTGTTAAAGTTGGGAATTTCAAATGCTTCTGTTGATCCAATTCTCATCTTGCTACTTCTGCTGAAGTCAGTGATCAATCAGGGCACAGCACTTTGAAGGGAGCAGTGGGCAAAGTCTTGCCATGGGTCACTAATGTCCCATTCAACTCAGTGCGCTGAAACTACCCAAGCACCAGTAGCCCTTGCAGGATGCAACACTGGTACAGCTCAACTGCCTGTAGGAACCCACCAAATCCCCCACAGCTCTTCTCCATCCATTCTGAGCTTTGATTTGGAAGGTTATGAGTTTTCCCTCACAATACCACTTTTGTACTGCAGGCTCATGTGGCTTGTTTGTCCAGGTGTCCAGACAAGCTGTGTGCAACCCACCTCTTCCATAGGTGTCTCCATGCATAGGATGATTTGTGTCCCTTCTTGCACACTAATATTTACCTGAACCTGACCTCACAGCCACGAAAACCTCACCATGTCTCTCCTCCTCTTTACAGATCAAAGGCATTAAGACACCATCAGTCCCCTCTGATGCATAAAACTCCTGTTAAGTACTCTAAAAATGCTTCCTAATATGCTTTTATTCAAGTACCCAGCTTGTGTGAGGAACTGTATGAAGGAAGTAAAATATTTTACTTCATCCATTTCCTGTTCACACTGAGAAAATTATCTGTAATTCCTCAGTAGGATTTTCATACCTTTACTCTTCAAAATACAACAGTGAACGTTTGGCCACATACATGCCAAACTGTCTGCAATACAAACTTGGAATAGGGAGAAGCTGCTCAGGATTTAGTACCTGATTAAATGTCTTATCCCTACTCAAAGAGTTTTATGACAAGACCAAACCAGAGCCCTGAAGGGAACAATACCTTAGCTTCTTCTGCCATTTTCCTGTCTTCATCTATCTCCTCAGCCTTGGCAATGTAGTCTTCTTGATGTTTTCTTCTCTTCTGCTTAGGGGCCATGAAACCTTGCAGAAACTTCTTAACAACACCAGCCTGGAGTGCAATCACACACTCTCCAAAATCCCTCAAGCTCTCCAGTGAGTACACCTGTTAGGAAGAGCACAGGATCATGTTAACAGTGGGATGCTCCTCTCCCTGTTGTTTGAGGTGGGTCTGTCCTGCAAATGGATACAAGTGACACTTTATGCAGTGTTGTTATTTGACATATTTGGTTATGGCATCAGCATTTGCTGCTGCTTCTGCTAGAGTCCACACTGAGCTGGTGATCATGCATGGTGCTGTTCAGAAACAAGCATCATGCCTTGAAAAAAAGACAACAAACCAAAACCACAAAACCCACAACAAACCACCAAAACCCCAAATACTTGATGACCAAGTGCCAAACCATTCTTCCACACCTATAGGGGCTTCACTTTTCCCCTCCTAATGCTTACAGCCCCATTTATGTGGGGAAGATTCTGCAGTGACTCAGAGTGCAGGTTAAACAGAGCTTTAACCATGTCCTTGGGCAGGAGGAGCACACTCCAGTCAGAGGAGTCTACCCCCACCAGGCAGATTTATTCACTCTTCAAGGCACTCAGTGCACCAGTAACACTCACATGAGTTAGGCTAGCCAAAACTAGCCAAAGCACTAACAATACCTACTTTAGTTCACTGCACAGTTACATCCTTGTGTTGACACACCCATAAGCAGAACATCCATCAGCCCTGGAACTGGGGCACAATCATAACCCAAAGCCTAAAGTGGCCTGAATTTATGCAAACAAAACTAAATTAAAAAAAAATCCCCAAACCACAGAACAACTCCAAAATGGAACACTGCTGTCTCAACAAAACATACCTGCTTTGATGCAGAAGCTAAAAATCAGAGTTCTGGTGATGCTCCATAAAGAAGTCTGCCACCAGATGAAGGAAATAGGACAATTTAGCAGCTGTGCAGGACATGGAGCTCCAACACTGGGACTCACCTACACCAAAAGGACCAAACTAACAGCTGTGTAATCTTGAAATAACAGTTCAGGAAGGGAGGACACATGACAAAAATTATTTTCCTGATCCTGTCTGAAGAGAAGAAAAGACTCAACACCTTCCCCAGAAAGTATTAGCTGGTGCTTGCTCACTCACTTTCGCTTCATATTCTGGTGTCACATCAATGTATCCCAGGCCTCCTTTTTGCAGCCGCGTCGCAACCTCAATCAGGTCGCTCCGGAGGTAGTTCAGCAGCTCCTGGTTACCATCACAGGATTTGAGGCCCAAGTTCTGTTTCCGAGCCAAATGGATCGAATGTGTGATGTCCTGATACCTGGAAAATCAAAACCAACCCTTGAATTCAGGCAGGCCACTGTGCTGCGAGCTGTGCAGGCACTGGGGCAACAAAGGCACCCATGGTGATCTACGTGCTCCACCAGTGCAGAACGTTCTTTGAAAGACTCTTGAAAGCACGTGGTAGTTCTGGCTCTAAGTGGAACAGCACTGCCTTTGTTTCCAGCTGCAAATAACAATGTAAAGACTGACAGAACCTCTTCACAATTTAGAGTATCACTTCCCATAAGCCTGCAGTTACTGCCCAACAGGAACAGCAATTTCTCATCCTCAGTGTCCTTCCTCTTCAGCACAGGCTCAATCAAACAAGGTGCAGATTGCTGCCCCAGGAATGGAAAGGCTTGCTGAGACAAGGACAGGCTTTGACTTTGAGAAGGCACACAGGAAAAAATAAACATTAAAAATGGCAGGCTCACCTTTTCTCCAACCTCTCCTTCAACTGGCTCTCTCTTACTCCCTGTGGGTGCAGGCAATCCAGCAGCTCATCCAGATCCTTCTGACTGTCACAGAGAAACCTGGAAGATAAAACATGCACCACCATCAGCTGAAGTGTTTCTGTGGTAAGACAATTCCTTCTTCTAAGTAGCTCACAAGCATGAGCACACAGGGATGACAAGAACCATTATCCCAGCCCCATGGATCAAGGTGAAACATTTCCAGGAACCCTGGCATAAGCATTCTGACTTGGACTGGCCTTGTTTCAAGGTCTCCAAACATAGCCAATTCTGGGGTAAGAAAAAAAACACCCCAACAAAATAAACACAGAACTGATTTATAGATTTCTCCCCATCAAGTTTATTAAACCACTGACATTTGAAGGTAGTCATCTACTCCAGGGATTAGACTCACTAAGTTGCAGTCAGTTGAAATAACGTGAACGTCATTTTAGATGCACTAGGAAAGATTAACGTGCCATGCACTGCCCAGTAATTTAATCACCATTACTGCAGAGCCTTCAGCTTCTTCCACTAACCCAAAAGCCCCTAGATTAACAAAGGATATGTCCTTGCTTACACCACATCTGCTGATGATGTACACATGTGGCTGTGAGGCCCTGCAGGTACAGACCTCCTTCTTTCTAAGAAGCTCACCTTAACTTCAAAGCTCTCATGCAGGATGTGAAAATGGTATTTATCAGTTTTAAACCTTTCTGCTCAGAAAATCCTTCAGGACAGTAATGGTAAATCAGCAGTCAGCTGAACCTAAGGGGGGAAAACTTTGCAAAGTCCTCTCCACACGGTGTTCTCTCCGTGATTCTAGAGTATGATTAAGTTTTAATGCTGGGCTGTAGATGGAAACTAGTTTAAAGACATGAAATTCTACTCTTCTGTTTTTCAAACCCTAGGACACCATGGAGGCTCCTCACCTGATGTGGGCAGGGATTCAATCTCAGTCTCAAAGCTCATTTACAGAAAAGAAGACTAATCCCATATCTTCTAGAAGAGAATTGCTCCTTAGAAGGAATAACAAAACCAACCTTACATGGAACCAACTGCAAAGGACCATGATGTGATCCTTACCAGCCACTGAGAAGACTCCAGATCTAATTTTTCTTCCTGAGCACAGGCTCAGATGAGCCAAGCAACAACTAGAGAAAGATGCTGTTCTGGCTCCTCTTGGAATACCAGTATCCACAATGCTTATTTTTCTAGCAGAAATACTTACTAAACATCATATCTGAAAAGAAAACATTTTAGAGTTCTAGTATGCTCATTTTAGGGGAAATGGCCTCACAATGTGCATTGAGAAAGTTGCTTTAGGTCATGATGAAATATCAGTCACTGCTGGTAACACACCATAGGATCCAGCTGGAAAATACCTGAGATGACCATGACCCAGCTTTCTCAGCTTTCCCCCATGGCTACAAATCTAAGGGGGAAATTCCCTGCACCGTTTTGTCTTACTGTGAATGTGAAAGGGCACTGGAAACCAACAGCATCTGGTGCTTGGGTTCTCCAGTGTTCTGTGGCTTGGGGAAGGACAACACGGGCTGCTGGCCAGTTTGGGAGAGTAGTTATCAACCTTTTTTAAAAGCTAGGGTTAAGCCCTGGAACAACTTTGTTCCTG